GACTGCTGTAGCTGAACCCAGGACAGTAATTAAGGGATAGATCTAGAAAATAGCCAAACTCTAAAAGCTTGGTTGAAGATCTCGCCAAACTCAACTCATTTTAGGCTATCGTGTGGAACCTTGCCTCCTGAATTCCAGAGCTCATGGAATGTTTTTTTAAAAGAAAACAAAAGTTGACATTCCTTATTAGGTTGTATTTCTTCATTACACACTATTCAGAACAATGACTTAATTTTCTTTTTGGGTTTTGTTTTGGTTTTTTTAGTGACACATTTAAAGGTTTTTTTTTTTGTTTGGTTTTTTTTTTGTGTTTAAACAAGTATAACTGGTACGTCAACTGAATTTTTAAATGCTGATCAGATGTCTGTAATACTAGAGAATTGCTTCAGGGATTTAATAGCTTCTAATTTCATCTGAAAGTCACTACTCTCCTGCCTGTTGTCAGATGCTGGGGTTGATATATTGATGGGTGATGTCTCCAAAGTAAATGTTAATGTGTGCTCTGACGGCCCCAAGAATACTTTGTGCTTTATCTGCATTAGTATATAACCGGACATCTAAATTCAAAGTTCCAGAGGAGGTGGAGAAAGCAATTACTTTAGAAGATGCTCCTGAATTTTTCATAACACCCAAAGTGTAGAAAATATTATTAGTATTCTGATCTAAAGTGGCAGATTAAGCAAAATTTCTTCTATATTCTTTTTGCCCATGGAGCATTTTGGATCTTAGCAGTGGAATCTCTTTTCAGAAATTGATCAGATGAGGTTTATATTCCTTATGAATTTATGAGTATTGATAATATGGGTAAACATAAAGAAGCCTCTAACAGTCTTGCAGCACTGGCTTTTTTTGCACAAGCCATCAGTGCTTACTATCTAAATATATGATAATGTATTTGATTGTAGTGTGGTTGTGTTCAGTGAAGACTTTCCATCCCAATTGTGTATTTGTTTATATGTACTCTTCGTAACAGAAGAGTTTCTATTCCATAGCTGGGCAAATGCATTGGTTATCACATGTGGTCTACTATTTCTAGATGATTTATTTAGAAGTAACATGCTCTCTTACATACTTTAGACGTCCTTCATCTTGATCCTATCTAAGCTGTATAAACATGTAATTTAAGGGAATGCACTGGTTTATTTTCTTCTGGCTCAGGTCTGGTATTTTTTTGTAGAATTGGAAAAGATTTTTTTGTTCTGTTCTTCAGTTACTCTGTTAACCAAAGGCAGTGCATTCATTCCTTTCAGGATGGGGGCCTGATAGTCTAATTTCTGGTTCACTGTATGGTGTTCAAAAGCAGAAGTTGCTTTTAAATGGAGAGAATCAGGCCAAGGGGAAAGGTTGGGTTGCCTATCAGACTTTGGTATAACATTTGGTAAAATTCAAAGGATAGAGGCTGTCCATATAAGTGATTTCAGTACCTGGAGGATACAGGAAGAACTTTGACTGCTATTTAACAATTGAAATTCAATAGTCTGGCTACTTCAAATAGAAGGTTGGTTTCTTACTGTCAGCAGGATCTCCTGTGCTTGTGCAGGTGAGAGCATTTTTCCAAGGGGGGCTAATAAGCCAGAAGAAAAGATTACAGTTCATTCGATCACATTGCAGCCTCCAGCAGTGACAGGGAGGAAACGTGTGCTTTGCTCATCGTTCTTTAATTCATAATAAAAGCTAAAGAACTGAATATAAATACAAGTGAAAATGTGAATTGTGAGTTGTTTCCCCGCCCGATCCCCACCCCCAATTAATAGATTAAGAAGGACACGAAGCTACGAAGACAGGCTGAGAAAATTGGGGCTGTTCAGCCTGGAGAAGAGAAGGCTGTGTGGAGACCTTATAGCAGCCTTCCTGTGTCTGAAGGGGGCTACAAGGTTGCTGGCGAGGGACTCTTCATTAGGGACTGTAGTGGTAGGACAAAGGGTAATGGGTTTAAACTTAAACAGGGGAAGTTTAGATTAGATATAAGGAAGAAGTTCTTTACAGTGAGGGTGGTGGGGCACTGGAATGGGTTGCCCAAAGAAGTGGTAAATGCTCCTTCCCTGGCAGTGTTCAAGGCCAGGTTGGACAGAGCCTTGGGCAAAATGGTTTAGTGTGTGGTGTCCCTGCCCATGGCAGGGGGGTTGGAACTAGATGATCTTAAGGTCCTTTCCAACCCAAACCATTCTATGATTTGTTGACAGTGCAGTAGTGAATGAGTTTCAGGCTGCTCATTAGTAGCAACCCGTCAAAGCAGCTACCTCCAAGAGCTAATTCATGTAATTAATTATTAGAACTTGGTACTGCTGTGTCACTGCCTATACTGTATTAGAAACACATTTGGGTTCAGGGATATTTAGGTATTTCTATTTCTAATTTGAATTTACACATTTGTATTGCATTGAAAAGTTCGTTATGATGTTTCCTAATTATATGTAATAGAAACATTCAAAGAAGCAATTTGGTGAAGAAGCATAGCTATAACCTGTAGTATTAGGGAATGAGAGTGGGGGCTTCATAAGTCTCCTTTTTTGGGCAATAAAGCCAAACACTGCCTGTTCTACCTCCTATAAAAAGCAAATACAGGTGTCTTATTCTGAATTTTCAGTGTCTTAACTCTGCTACCTAATACTAAAAATATGTACAGTGGAAGGGGGAAAAAAAATAAAACCTATGTATTTCATTGATTGACACCTACAGGGGAAACTGTAAAACTCTGTCTATGTGTATCTGTATTTTTGTATGTGTACATATATGCACATTGTATATACATTATGAATAAATAAAGAATCTGTGAAGTCTTGTTACAATTCTGATGCTGTTTTTCTAAATGTATTTGATCAAATCAACATGAACATCCAACTAATACCGTTTTAATGCTGTTTTAACAGGTTTTGTCAGGTTTTTAGAAGGCTATTACATTGTGTTAATAACAAAAAGAAGAAAAATGGCAGATATTGGAGGCCATGCAATATATAAAATAGAAGATACAAACATGATCTACATTCCAAATGACTCTGTAAGAGTCACTCATCCCGATGAAGCCAGGTAAATAATGGTGGTACTTTTTGAACATTTTCTTAGCAGTGGTGAACTGCAACTAGAAATTTCAGTCATGGATTTCCTTCTGTTAGTATGTTATTCAAGCCATTTTATCTTAGTTGATAAATTAACGTGGCAGAATGGAGAATCTGCCACAAGTTCTGTGGCCTTTTACCTGGAGAGTAAATACAACTTTTACAGTCTTTAAGAGTTTTCCGTCCGCATCTTCATGTTGCCTACCTATCAAAGCTACATTCTAGCAAACGTGCACCTGGAAGCATCCAGTACGTTGTTGATACAAGGCCAAAGTAATGCTAATACTGGTTTATATTGTTTGGAGTACAATTCTTTTATTAGTATCTCTAGCATCATGTTAATCTCACCTGAAGAGATCTTTTGTGCTCTACAGAAAGGGCAGAGTAGATTATTTAATGATTCTGTGCTGTCATAATCTTGTGAATTTTTCTGTTGCTGTTGCAAAGGGTGATAAACTGACCCACTGGTAAGTTCAATTGCTTCCTTTTTTTTTTTTTTTTTTTTTTGACCTTTTTGTGAAAAAAGATATTTAAGCCTTTGCAAGGAAACCTTGTGTGAAATGTACAACCACATCCTGGTGGTGTTTTTGTCCTTTAGGGGGGGGACTTTACTTCTATGAAATACGAGGCAAATAGTATCAATAAACTGCTTTTCAGTGGGAATAGTCAAAAAGTGATGGATTGTGATAAACTGATGTCAGGTAATGAAATCAAGACAATGGGAACTACTCAGAAATTTTCCACTTTGAGGTATGACTGATTGTAAACCTCAGTCTCCCCTCTTAGAATGAAGCAGACCATGTTGTCTAACCTTTCTATTTATTGTGTTAGCCATTTTAGCATTCATAGACAGTGTTACAGTTTCGTTTGAGAATTTGCAAAGGTATGGCAGCTTGAAGTAGATACTTCTTTTCTTGTTCATTTATTTGAGAATACAAGAATTGAAGATTTTCACAATTATAGTATTGTTGGGAGTTTGCTTGCATAAGACCTAGAGAATTTGACCTGTATATGTGGAAAACGGAGTTACAACTTTATCTGCAACTGCCTAAAGAAGTGGAGTACATATGTGAGTAGGCACTGGGTTTAAAATAAAAAAAAAGTCTTATTTGATTTATTTAATCCAGATGCTGACATTCTAGTGGAATTATCTATCAAAACAGTTACATTTAGATACAAAGGGAACATATGGCAAGAGTCAATATTTATATGTAGTTTAATTTCTGAGATTTACTGAATGACTTCTTGAAACTGTCTGGTTAAACTAATAATTTTCCTTTTAATTTGAATTGTTTTGCTAGGTATCTGAGAATCTTTCAAAATGTGGACCTTTCTAGCAACTTCTACTTTAGGTAAGCATTAGTTACTAATTCCTTTAAAAAAATTTTATACTTGCTATGAAATTCTGCTTTTGGATTTTGCTAACCAGGATCTTTAGTATTATGGGGAAATAAGACACATGATGACTCTGCTTGTCTGTTTTCATCAGTGTCTTTTGAACCTGCTTTCTCCTTCAGCAAATTGGTTAGAAATATAGTCTCCATGAACTATAGAACTATTAGTGGCATTGTAAAAGGTAGACACTGACATTACTGTTTCCACTGACTATTTAGCCTTGCCAGATTGTGCAGATTATCTCTCTTTGGAAAAGTATTATATATTTCAGGGGGTTTGCTTGTCCTGTCATTTTTTCTTTCTTGATCTTGTTTTCCAGAACTAAAGCTTTGCCTTGATTCACAAAGATAGAGAATAGGTCATCATCCAAGATACACCCAGCATAGGGTGCATCTTTCATAGGGCCTTCTAGGCATTATTGATTCTCTTGCTTGCTTTTTCATAAATACCATACCTAAGACAAGTTTCTGTGTCCCAGGTACTATGACACATGAGACTTTTGGGACAGCAGAAAAATGGGAGAAATACAGTGATAAACCTGGCAGTACTAGTTAAAGGCCTTTAAGACTTAATCTAAATGAAAAAAACCCTCTTGTGAGTACCAAAAGGTATATCAATCTAGAAGATACTTCCGCTTGGAAAATAAAGGCTTCTTGTCACAAGCGTGTCTGTCAATACAAACCTACCAAAGTTTCATGTCTGTTTTGTGGTTTTGCATGGAAAGGCTTTTTCACAGTAAAAAACCTGAGTTTTTCTTCTATGCTTTGTCTCTCAGCCCTAACACGGTACAACTTCCTTTTTTATTATCGTGCTCAGTGATGGTGAATGTATACTGTTTCTGTGGTCATGCATATAAGGGAAAGGACAAGGTTTTTGTATGACTCCCTGGTAAACACATTTATCAGCTTAATTTAAATTGTTCTTGGCTGAAATTGTAGCATATTTTTCTGCATGGTTTTCATATTAATCCTGAACAAATTTAGAGGTTAGTTATATGAAAACATTTGGTATAAGGGGAAAATGGAGGAATAGCCTGAACAAGTCTTTTACTGGGATACTGTTTAAAGGTTCTGTTACATGCAAACTGAGCATATAACAGACTGGATTTTTTCCTGACAGATAAGCACATCAGGTTGTTCTTATGAAAATGTGGTAAATGCATGGTTTAGACTTTGTTATCATTAATTATAGATCTAAATGTCCAGTGTTTAAATTTTTTTTTTTTTTTTTAGGTCATTGGTGAATATCTAGAACATACAGGAGGGCTAGTAATTACTGATGCTGTGTTAGCCAAAAATGGAAATTTGTGTGTATTTCTGATTCAACTGTTGTGTGAATTTAGTTTCTCCTTAGGGAGATGAATCTTAGTGGCTTATAAAATTTAGCAATTAGTGTAGAGTGTTGTCAGTATAAAAGCCATGAGATGCATAATTTGTAACTGTTATGGAACTAATTAAAAAACCTCAACCTTTTGTTTATTCTGCAACCACTGTCTTAAGATGCATCTGTGCTGCAACCACAAATCTGAGGGCAGTTTTTGTGTACCAGAGTTTTGGCTGCTTTGACTTCAGGTAGCAGTTAGAGAATAGTACTTAAATCTCAGAAAAGTGAGGTTGTCTGTATGGATATTTCCAGTGGAATAGCTATTTTTGATCTTCAGGACTGTTTCTTGGCACATAGTGAATCATGTTTGATATGCTTTGTTCAAAAGGCATGTTCAGTTTTCAGTTATAAGAAGAATATAAATACAGTTTCAGCTATTGTAGTGTAAACAGTTTCTATGTTGTAAAACTTCTGGAAATCAGTAGTATTATTTGCCATTACAGAATCTGAATCTGTGTATCTTGTTTAAAAGTCTTCTTTTAATAGATAAAATAGTAGTGTTAAATGTAAGTACAGATGGAGAGTAAGGGCTTTCAGAAAACTCCTATGCATCTACAGTTATTAATACATGTTAACTTTCTATCAGTTACAGCTATGATCTGTCTCACTCCCTTCAGTATAATCTTACTGTCCTGAGAATGCCACTTGAAACATTAAAAACTGAAACAACCCAGACCCGACAAGAAAGTTTTGATATATTTGAAGATGAAGGACTTTCAACACAGGGTGGAAGCGGTAAGCAAATATGCCTAATTAAACTGATGCTGGTCAAGAGTACATTCAGAGCATGTTCCACTTAAGTTTACTTTTGAGTAACATTTGGGTCTTTTGTATTGGTCACCAGTCTCATAATAGTTTTGAGTTAATAAAAGATTAGGTGATGTGCCAATTACAGACATTTGAATAATGAAATTTCTAGAGGTGATTAATCATTGCTTTGTTAATTTACATTGCAACTTGGGGAGATAATTGAACTTGCTGACATTATTCAGAAATTGATTATTCAACTGACTTGTAAGACTCCCAATAGGAATAAATTACAAAGAGTGGGAAGTAATAACTGATTAATGGATTTTTTGATTTGTGTTGGAAAATACTGACGTCAAAGGAATTATATGGTGTTAGTATTAATTTGATATTGTTGGCACTATTGGAAAGTCCAAGAAAAACTATTGATTTCAGTTGAAAAACACAGCCTTCACTTCGGATCAACATATTCATAAGAGTGTAAAGATAACCAGCCAAACAGGAAAACTGTTTTCTCTCCCTTTTGCTTTGCTCATACACACATACAAAAGTTTCCCCTGAAATTCTTAATGATGGATTTCATTCTGATGAGGTTTAGTTTTTAGTTTTGTTGCCAAAAAAAGTTGTTTTGTTGGGGTTTTTTTCTATTACATATGTGACACCACTTTTTCCTTGTTTAATTGTGAAGTGTGAGAAATAACAGTGCTACTGTTGACTCATAATGAATACATTGCTCTAATAGTGTTCTCAAACAGCTGTGGAGATTCAGCTAGCCTTCTTTGTAATAGAACACCATGCCTTTTAAATACATCACTTATAAACAAAAGAATAGGATAGAGCAAGTCTGCTGCTATTTTGTGAACTTGATATGCAAGGCAGCTCAGATATAATACCTGTGTTTGTGCTTATTGGATCTTACTGGTTATAGAGGCTCAACAACCTCTCTGCATTACCACCCTTATTTGTAGTCACCTGCTGTGTAACTTCTGTTGAACACAAAATATAATACACAGAGAAACAGGATACAAAATCCCACCTGTCCTAAAGTAACTTTGGTTCTTTGAGATACTGTAAATTTCATGATTTGTCTTCCACCTCTTTTAACCCAAATGAATCTCCCAAGGCATTGAAGAAAGAATTTATTGGTCCTGCTTTCTGTGCCTCTAAAGGGAACTCTGAAGGTCTGACATGCACATAGTTAAAATACAGAAACAACTGAAACAACCCCAGACCCAAATTTATGCGAGATAAACTTGGACACTATTTTCCCACCTGTTCTTCACACCCTTTTATCACAACACCTAGAATAGACCTACACTGACTACAGCTCAAAGAATGGTAAGCAAGTAATTGTCTCTGATGCTGGAACTTCCTATGTTAAATAGTTCTAACATCTATCATACTGTCATTTAAAAGCCTAAAAGTAACGCTGTTTGCAGTAAACCCTATATAGTGGAGGGAGCAGTTATTCCTCTTCTTTAAAGGCTCTTATCTGCAAGATCCCTCAGGGATCCATACAACGTCATCTCTTCTATGTCTTTGTGAAAACTTTGGAGAAAAAGATGCCATAACCTTGACCCTATCAGCAGTATGCTGATAACACACACAACTCCATTTCCAGTAGATATTAGTAACATATCCGTTCATACGATAGAATATGTGTAAGAAATAGCCACCTGTCATTCAAGAATAAATTCTTACCAAGGTAACGCTTCTAGAATTGAGAAGACAAACTGCTGACCAAGTGCTTGTGGCCAGCTTCTGCTGAGTGTATACACTCCTTCTCCAAAATGGTTACATCAGTTTTTCCTGGGCTTATGTAAGTTTGATGACTAGGTAGCAACATTTTGTTCAACAGCTGCATTTTCAGTTTCAGTCTGTTAGAAGAACTCATCTTTTTCCCCCAACAGAGGCTGTGTTAATTGACATACTTACTGCTATGATATAACTTATCCTTCCAGAAACTTAATTTGCTAAAACTACACAAAAAATGTATGTAATAGAGTTCTTGTCCTCTTCCTTTTCTTCAAGACTCATTTAATTCCCTTTGCCAGCTTTTAGTGCTAGTTGTCATCTTGGTCTTAAATTTTGAAATGGAAAAAGACTTAGGTTCCGGTTATATCAGAAATTGAATTCTAATTTGCAGGTCTACAGTAGCTGCATTTCTCGTGTCAAGTGGATATCAGGAAAACAATGCTAAATTCTGTGACAAAGGGGATTGATGTGCTTTTTGTAAAGGTGGCCAGGGCTGTACATGATCTTCCACAGCCTAATAGATAACTCCAGAGCTGACCCAAAATTGAAAAGCTTATAAAGTCCTCCTGTGAAAGTGTTTCTGCCTTAACTGGAATTCACAACTTAATTTATTTCCCTTACTATCAAATCCTCTTCTGCTACAATGCAGAGACTCTTTTCAGTACTGTAAATATCAGAAACTTCTGCATGAAGACACTCACATACTTCAGTGACTGGCAAACAGAAAAACTGAAAATCCTATAAATGCTGAACCTCAGCATATGCCTGAAGTTATCTATGTTTCGCAAACTTCAGAGTTGTAAGTAAATGATATGCTGAGTTGCAGTCAAAGGAAACTCAAAATGAAGGTATGATGACCTGGATTTTAAAAGTCCAGTGCAGGTAAGCTTGTTTCCTAATTGCTAATGCATTTTTCATTGTAACAACTTCGTAGGTGTATTTGGGATTTGCAGTAAGCCTTACGAGAAGTATGTGTGGAATGGCAAGCTTCTGGAGGCAGTAAAAAATATTGTTCATCGTGACTGGCTGCTGTATATTATTCACGGATTCTGTGGGCAATCAAGCATCCTTTTACTGTTGTAAGGAATGTTTTAAAACTTTTTTTAAAAGTTGGAACATGTGAAATACATTGAATGATTTCTTTGTCATGTAAATACTTTCCAGTTTTAGACTTACTGGTTGGTTTTTATTTTAATTACTTTTCTAGGTTTTATGCTAAATAAAAACCACAGTTATGTTGTTAGAATTCTCAGCGAGACACGGTTTGTCAGCATGGGGTTTAGTAATAAAGAACTTTAGAGGATTTTAAGGCTCAGCTGTATCTTTTCACATATGTTTGAGGAAAGGGAAAAAACCTAATCAGAACTGAATTGCTGACACAGAAATGTCCTCTCACTAATCTTTAAAACATTTTTTAGTAACTGAGATTTGCAGAAACTCTTGTATTTATTCTGTTGAAGATGATAATAGAAATTTAGGCCTGCTATTTGAAGAGAGTTAAGTAAACAGTAGGATATCTGAAAATCTTTTTTTCCTGGCTATATATTATTTAAAATGAGTAAATGGGTTTATGTATATTGTTGTATTAACAGAAAAAGCCCAAATGAATATCACACTCAAAAAAAATGCCATGCCAACATCTTAGTTGGTAAGAATTTAATGTATTACAGACACACTCTTAATCATCAAGAGCATAATGTTTGTTTAAAAGCCTGCCAACAAAGTATCTGGGCAAGCAAATACAATTATGAAGTTAAGGTTAGTGGTGTCTCTAAAATTTAATTTTAGGGGTTTTTTATGATTGTAAGGCTGCTGGTCATTGGCTTAGTCCCCAGACAGAAAGCTAGATCCATTTTTATATACCACTATTTCATCTGTGCTGTTGCTTAAACAATGTAGTAGTAGAGGATCTTACTACCAGCATTATGCCTGCAGCTAGTTAGTGTAGCATTAGTCTTTGCTCTAGGTATTTGATGAACAAATGTCATCTTTCCTCTTTCTTGTGCCTCCCTTACACTAAGTAAGCAGTGAGAATCATGCTAAACATCTGATTCTATCTTGTTTGTTTGTTTTTAATAAAAAAATAAAAAGCCTAAAAGAAAGCCACCACTGCATCAGTAGCTGTTTGCCTCTGGTTTTCAGTTGTTGTTACTTAAGTAATTGCAAATCTATCTACTTTTCCAGACAAATAATTAGAGGGTGACTAATGTACCTGATCTGAAAATAGAAGCTCCCAGACTTCAATCCCAGTATTCACTAAAGCAGTATTGGTGGCCCAGCATGAATCTGGGGCCTGTTTCACTTCTGTTGCCACTTCATAAAATAGAAATACTTCTTTTCTATAGGATGTGAGAAGTGGTTGATATAACGTAGATTCTGTTTTCAAAGTTCTTAAAAACCATTGTTGAAAAAGCCAATGCTCTCTCCCAACTGCAAAAGAAGTTTGGAAGTGGTACTCATCACTGTTAAGGACATGTCAGTAAATCGGATGTTTCAGTTTTGTACACCTTTTCTAGAATTTGTGCTTAAAGTAAGTGAATGAAAAATTGCATGTGAAATGTAAACCTTAACTTCTCTCTCAAGAACTGTTAATATATGGTCGCCCTATATACGTCACTCTGATAGCTAGAAGATCAAGCAAATTTGCTGGAACACGTTTTCTGAAACGAGGAGCAAACTGTGAGGTAAATTAAATCTGATTTTAGGGGTTCCCTCGTATCCTCCCCAACCGTATAAAAGCTTGAGCTTGACTGACTGGAGAATTTAAATGTTTTAGAGGGTTGTTACAGTTTTGGCTGTAAATTATGCTATTAGGTAATGTTATCACAGCCATCATTACATTCTTAATTGAGATAATAAAGCTGTTCTTAAAATAATAAGTCTTAACTGGCAATTTCCTTATTTTTTATTTTTTTTCCACTTACAGTTAATGTTATTTCCAAAATAGGGGGGGTGGGGTGTGGAATCTGATAATATGCGCTTAGGGACAAACGGGAATTTAACCTTCAGTGGTGTTCTCACCACTGTGATTTGGTGTCTTACAGTTTAATTGTTTGTAATGATCAGTTCTCTATAATACATGCAGCTCTGAAGTGTCATGTCTATACCGTATGTGTATTTCTGTTTGTTTTAGGGAGATGTTGCTAATGAAGTAGAAACTGAACAAATACTTTATGATGCTTCAGTTATGTCATTTTCTGTGGGGAGTTATTCATCCTATGTTCAAGTTCGAGGATCTGTCCCTCTGTACTGGTCACAAGATATTTCAACTATGATGCCTAAGCCGCCCATAACATGTATGTACAAATTACTCTTTGTGATAGTTTATAGTTAGTACTGTCCCCACAGGAACACTGGAGACAGTAAGTGAAAACTCAAAATGAACGAATTGTCTATACATTTGTTCTTTGGGAAGCCATAAGTTAAGGTAGATCAATGTTCTTTATAATAAACATCATGGCATACAAACATTCAACCATATAAAAAGCTGCGTTTGATGAAACTGAATAGAAAAACAATCTCTGTCTTAGACTTCACATCAGAAATGGAATACAAAAACTTCTGTTTGAAGTTGTCAACTTTCTTTGTGCTTATTTTGTATGCAAAGTTAGTTAGATTTACCTCTGTATTTGTGAATAAAATTTCGAACCTATTGAAAATCGTGAAAAAAGTCTGGGCTAACTTTAGTGATGCCAGAATAATGGTTCTGTGTAAGCATCTCATTAAAGCTGTGGTTAAGAAGTTGCCTCCAGTTTGGAAAAGGGAAGGGTTTTTTTGACAGCTCTTGCATGAAAAGGGGGGAAAGTATGAAATTGTATCATTACTATCAGAGAGTTAGCATGTGTTTTGTGAAGAGTACTTTTAAGGGAAAATTACTTAAGTGACTCTACAGCTCACTTAATATTGTCCTGAATATATGTATTTATTGCAGTGGACCAAGGAGATCCTTTTGCACATGTTGCTGCTCTTCACTTTGACCAAATGCTTCAAAGATTTGGTTCTCCCATTATTATTTTGAATCTTGTGAAGGTACAGAAATTTTAATATGTTCAATATGTTTTCTAGTTTTGATATTATACTTATTTCTGTAGAGTCTCTGTGTACTTACTTCTGTAGAGTCTCTGCCTGGTAGAGTCATGGAAGTATGAGCAGGATAGAAAACTGAAGCTTTTGATGTTAGCTGGTGGGCATACCATTGGCAGCCCAGCTGGACTAGTGGAGGGAGCTTCATGATTGCTGCAGTAATTCAGTTCACTCCTGTGTGATAGGTTGCAGTACAAAGCCTGCATTCTGGGTGGCACTGTAATTTTGGTTATTACATCTTATATTTGTGTTGTGGGTTTTTTTGTTTAATTTTTTTCTGTTCTGATCCAGCCGTTTTCTATGGTGGTGTCTGTTTCCACATTTGAGTTTAATATATTGATTTGTTTTGCTTGAATCATATCTTATTTCTTTTTAGTCTTTAAAAAATCATTTATCATGTTGTAGAACTGTATTCAGCAGAAAAAAATGATCTTTTATGTGCATGCAGGACCTATTCCTGATATTAAAAAATATGGAAAATTCAAAAGGAATGTTTTTAAAACTCTTAAGTTGTAATAAATGGAACTAGATCACCTATTTTCTATTTCTAGAAACCTTCCTCTGTAGGAGTCCGTATTTTCTAGAAGCTTTCCTGTGTAGAAGTGCTCCTGTCAGGGGTCTGTGAAATCAACATAGGATAGCATTTGTTGACAAGAAAGTTATTTTATCTCTTGCAGCCATAGATTTCAAAAGCAATTGTTACAGTGAGTCTAGGCTCACATGACCTTGACACATGAATCATTATCTGCTTTTATTCACAGGGCTTTTGATACACTGGCTGAAAATGCATGTCTTTCTTTCCCTCTCTGTAGATGCTCAATACTAAAATGTTAAAATTCATATTCCTTTATTACTAGACTCAGTGATCTGCAAAGGTCCCTTCCAACACTAATGATTCTGTGATTAAGTATAAATCTATGTCTTCCTATATCTGTCTATGCTAGAAATTCATTAATTAGTACTGAATGCATTAGGCTATATATTTAAAGCAGTTTCTATAATGTAGGTTCAGTATAGGTTTTAGTGTGGATGAAGTTGAGAGGAAAGCCATGGTAATATATGGAGTACCAAACCATATATGGTATTTTCAGAGAATGGCAACAAAATTAAATTTTTTAAAAAATTATTGCAAAGCTGGGAGATGGTAGCTGTTGTTCCCCATCTCCTATCAGTAATGGAGAAGAATTTGCCTGTGTTCTCTTGTACACCGGAATTGAACGGGACATTTTTCTTTCTGCCTGTCTTTTTCCTTCTCTCTTGTCTTTGTCCATTTCTTTTCTATTACCGCTTCTATGTGCCCTTCTTTGCTGTTACAGGGTTCCATTTTTCAGCCAACAATTATGCACAGTTGAAACGAGTGACTTTTACTACTAATACAGATCAATTGTTAAAAACCCAGAATGTTTAGATTTTTCTGTCTCTTAATTGTACTAGTTATGAATAACTGCCTACTGTTACAGCTTCCACTTTAAATTTCTGCTATATATACATACATGTATATGTATATGGGTTACATACGTTTGTTAATGAAAATTGTAATGCTAACTTCCTTTTCTTTTTGCTAAAGGAACGTGAAAAAAGAAAGCACGAAAGGATTCTTAGTGAAGAACTTGTTGCTGCCGTGACATATCTCAACCAGTTTTTGCCTCCAGAGCATGCAATTATATATATACCCTGGGATATGGCCAAATACACAAAAAGGTAGAAAAGATCCTTCTTTGTACTAGTGCTTTTAGCCACAGTGCAAATAACTATGCTAATGAGTGTGTTGTTTTTCAATTGAATGTATTGTCAGTGAATGATGGGAGAATTTCCTAAAGATCTAGGGATAGAATAAATCCTCAGGTTTTTTGGAGGTTTTTTCATGTTTTCTGTGGTTTCTTATGAAAGTGGAGCAAAGCCGGAAAACTTTTAAATTCTGTGCAAACAGAAATTTTAGAAAAAAGCTATTAGACATCAACATTCACTTTTTATTTTGAATTAGTCAAAACACTGCATTTGTCGGATACTCCATCTCAGTCACTGAATTTATTGAGTTACAAAATTTTGAAAAACAAAGGGTTTCATATCAGTCAGTCTTTCCCATTTCCTTTACCAAAAGGAAATGAGAGCATTAGTATCCATGTTTTAAAACATTCGTATTACTAGAAGCATGTATTTCAGAAAGGCAAAATATATTCTATAACTTTTTATTCTACAATTTTGCACAATAGAATGCTGTACTAGAATTATGTGAAAAGGGTGAATGTTTTCCTAAATGTAGAAATATTTACAAGGCACAAACATTTTAAATCTACAGGTATAGACTGCTATTCTGAAGAAACACAGAATTCGGTTGTAAAGTTCTCTGTTCTGCATATGTATACTGTATCTTATTAATGCCAGAAACTGTAGAAGAATGATAAGAATTGTTCGGTCAACTTTTAGGTATCTGTTACTATATCAGTCTGAGTAAAACAATGGAAAAACTGGTATGGTTCAAGGGGCAGGAATAAAATTAACGTGTTTTCAGTTAAAATTTTATTGAAAATCTTTGGCAAAAAATCCTTATCCACTATTTGAAATTACAGGTTGGTTGATACAGTTGGTCATGGGGGTGTGAAACTTTAAAGTTTGCCTTAAAGAGTAGTACTTTCACACTACATTTTGTTCTAAAATGGCATTGTGTACAGTTAGATGTACATGCAATTGCTTGTGTTATGATTAAATAGCAGCTGTCAAAATAAGGCTAGATTTCCTTTCAGAAGATATGCTAGTTCCAAGTTCCTGATTTTCCTATTGAATGATGCTGATGAAGCTTAGTGGTCTGTCCTATATGAGAAACGATAATAGGTCATCAAAGGATTCCCCTTCTATCTTTAAGTTTGATGTATGTTTATCCACCCTACTACAAATATAAATATACCTAAGGACTTTGAACAAGATTATTTATACAAGCAAAAGATATTTAGGAATGGAAGATAATGTATATGTCTGCCTAAGGAACTGCCAGTTCCAGGAATACTGAGAATATGTTTGCTTTAACATGTAGTTTTGAAGTAGGTTTGCTGGAAAGCAGTACTGGTTTTGTTACTTGAAGTGTTAACACTGTAATAAGAACTAAGTAAACTTTATTTGAAAATAAAATAGAGTAAACAGAAGTTGAAGTCCCCCACAATGAATGGATGGACTCCCTGATCTGAGCAGGAGGTGTAGGACATCATGAAGGACACACAAGAACAAATGTTACTGAACTAATCACTACCTTGCAAACAAAATGAGGGAGCATGATTTAGCATAATCATATATCCTTTTCTGCATCATTCTTATTTTGCAAAGCACAGAAAGTTTGCTAGGGGAAAAGTGGTGTGGTATGAAAGTCAAGTTTCGGAGTCTTTCACTTCTAGTTTATGTAATGCATTTTAATAAAAGTAAACAAAATTGCTCAGGTACAGTCAGTGTTTCCTAAGTCTGTAAAACCTAAGAAAATTACAGACATAATTACTGTTGGGTAAATAGAGCTGTGATGTTAATCTTCAAGTCATTTTTGTTATTGAAAGACCTTTTAGTATTAATGTATCTTGACTGTGTATTTTTTTTTCCTCTGCTCAGCAAACTTTGCAATGTCCTTGATAGACTGAATGTGATTGCAGAAAGTGTAGTAAAGACGACTGGATTTTTTGTAAATAGACCTGATTCCTACTGCAGTATTTTGCGACCAGATGAAAAGTATGTATGATTTAATTGATGCATAATGAATAGCATCTATTCCTTGGAGAGTTGTCTGGAATTTCTATGTGTATTACATTGTTTGTCAAGACTAGAATCAGTATGAGGGGAGATTTAAATCAACTAGCTTGTGCTACCATGTATGTTAGACCTCTACCTTCCAGTTGCTGGCATTGTACCTACTTCAACTTTTGTGCACTGAAGAAAGTTTGTATGGCTTTGGAATATTTCTACTGTAAGTCTAGGGGTTTTGGTTGGTTGGTTGTGATGGCATTTAAATATAACATCTTACTGTGGCCTAGAGTTTTCACTGCCTTTGCTATTCAGGGACATCAGTTTTGCTCTGTGGCAGGTTTTTAATTGTCACCGTTTTTCGCTAAGCAGATCAATACGTGGTATGATCTATTATTTTTTTTTAATTATTTGCATGTTATTCTGTTTTGTTTCTCTTTCAGGTGGAATGAACTGGGAGGCTATGTTGTTTCCACTGGTCGCTTGCAGGTACTAAAATGTACTTTATTAATTCAGTTACAGTGATGCAGATCAGCACTTCTAAAGCAGCAGTGAACCATTTAATTTAAATACCTACATGGTGATTCATAGAGTGCTTTTAAATTAATAATTATAGTAAAGAGCATTATTGCTGTCCATCCCAGAAATCCAATTGGAAAATAGGTCTTAAAGTTCTTGCATGGTACCACAAACCTTTATGCTGTTGGAATTTTATTTTTGCTGGAGGTAGTCTGAGAAATGCTTGTATTTTAAGCAAGTTTCCATTACTATTTAGTCTGCAGTGTTACCAGTGCATTGAAAGTTAAAACAGCAGCATTTTAGCAAACTGCATAATATCATGTTACACAGAGGAGGTGAGGAATAAACACACTTACGCCTGGTGACATTCACAGACATTTTCACCAGTGCTGAATATTCTGTATTTTGTTACAATTTCCATTACTAAAAGAAAATAAAACTAGAAACACTGCTTTCTTTAAGGTCAGAAAAGTAGTGCTAAACTATAAACCATACAGTACCAGATTTATACCTGAATGTTATGATTATATACTCTGAACACAGGGCATATTCTTAAGAAGCATTAGTTGCTTGTCACTTACCATTCATAATTTTGTAGTTCGTGTAAGTTAGAAAGCAATGTGACCATTCCTTTACTAGCTGGTTACTGTTTGTTGAGGGCAGGTAAACAATGGAGTAGATAGAATTTGGTCTGTTTTTAGAATAAAGCATATCAGCACTAATTAGATTTTTTAATGTTAGTCTTACAGGTTTACTAGTATTAGGGGAATGAGTGTTTTATCTACCTTTTAACTTTAATGACTTGTGGTATCACCATTGGAATACATTTAAGCATTGGAATCACAGTTCATCTCTGAATCTTGAGTCACACCCAAAAGTGCTTCTTTATTAAGGCAATAAATTTTAGTTGACTAGTTTGGATGTAGCCATGTATATTTAGGCAGAAGAATTCCCTATGCTGATATATTAAAATATGTTTCTTGCAGTTGTTCATAATATAAAATAACTTCGTGTATATTATGGAATTGACAAATGGTGGTGCAAACTGCATAAAAGAATATGCATGGCTGTGACCTTGAGTTTGTGTGTGTTGCCCCAGATACGGAAAGCTTAAAAGATAAGCACCATCACAGCAGAACCATGGCAAGGTGGAAGAGTGCTTATTTTTTGCAGTAGTTGCAACATAACTTGAAAATAAGTCCTTCTTCACTGAAATAACATAGCTTTTCTCATTAAGGTAAATCTTTAGGGCTGTTTGTGAATAGGAGGGACACAGTTTGTGTAATGATAAAAGCAAGAATATCATAGTAGGCATTACAGCAGTCTGATGTAGCTTACTGGAGATAACTTACTTTTCAACATCTTTAGAAATGTCTTACCTCAAATTTTTGTGAACTGATTTAATTTGAGATTTGGCAAGTCTTGGATAGTAGGAAAAAAGTGATAATTTTGAGTACGGTAATTTGTTAATTAAGAAAAATCTCCTTATTTGGATTGCTTTACCAGACAGGAGTTCTCCGAACCAATTGTGTGGACTGTTTAGATCGCACTAACACGGCCCAATTTATGGTGGGAAAATGTGCCTTGGCATACCAACTCTATTCATTGGGATTGATTGATAAACCAAACTTGCAATTTGATACGGATGCTGTAAGGTAAGATATATTAATAAAGTGTGTCGTGGTTTTATTTTTTTAATTTTGCCAAGAGATTTAGAAAAATTGTATAGAAGATGAGTCAAGTTCTTTCTATTGGAACAATTTAATAATATTTATTCATCCAAGTTTAAAAGATCTTCGATACTTGAACTCTTCTTGAGAAAATCCAGTAATGCTGAAAATCTACTATTCTGGAAAAGTATGGTAATCAGGCTTTTTTTATGATAACTGCTTGACTTCATTCTCTTTGCCTAAACGTAAAGCTAAAAGTTTTCCTTTGAATAAATGTAACAAAACCCCCACCCCAGTCTTTTACTTATGTTTGCTTGAGGCAAAATGCTGACAAAAAATGAAAACTGAAAGAAGCACATGCTTTTATGGAGAATGCTCAACTGATATTTGTATGGCGGTACATCTTACCTTGCTATTTCTTACTCTTCCTTTGGATAAAATGTTGTGCTTTTTTATTTATTGAAGAAAAGTTTTCACTGAAACTTTCTCAGATCAAGTATCCATGATACTTATTCAAGCATCTTCAAACCATTTAAGAAAACTGATCATTGAAATTAAAATGCTTTGGGGGTCATAGGAACTAAGCTACTTAAGCTGTGAACTAGCTTCAGAAAATAACATGAGTCCTTGACGTGATGTGGTTTTATGCCTTAAATCTATTGTCATGACTGTGAAACTTAGGGCTTCATTTCTGGTTTTGACTAGTGGTTTGATAGTTTTAGAACATGAAGATGTAACTCGTATTTCAGGAAAGACAAAGTATTCCGTCTCACCTTTACTCAAGACATACCTTCAGCTGCTCTTCTTTTCCTGTTAGCTTCTAGGAGTTATAACCTTACTTGCAGCATGTTGGCTCACGGTGCAAGTGGTGTCTGCTGGCTGCCTGATGGCCAGGGAGAACACCCACTGGCTGGCTTCCTCTTTGTGCAGTGCCTCTCATCCACTGTGTCCCAGCTGCTGGGTGCTGCATGTTTACATCTGGGAACAAACAACTGCTGCTGCAAATACCAGTTGCTGTGCAGCTTTCTGGAGACTCGTCAGTCTGGACTCTTGGATTCTAACTAGAGGGGATGAGGAGGTGGACAGGTCTCTAGTATCACTTTCAGTGGTATTCCCTACA